TTGTTCGCCTCTAGATTTATTTGAGTTAACACTCCGGATGAAACACAGATACTTTCCCCCACCCCCAGAACACGGTCGTATCGGGGCAAGAAGAAACCTTCAGAACATGGTATTAACCTTTCCAATCGCTGTGAGCTTTATCTTTAATATTTAGAAGTTCCTTTTTTTAAAAAAAGAACTTCCCCCAGCCAGGAACCATGCAGAATTATGGGAGCTGAAGCTCCCCCACATTTCCTTTTTACCAATTTTTGTGCCTACATAGCCACCATGCCAGTTTTCCCTGCACACCAAGGAAATTCTGGCAGCCACAAGAAAATAAAAAGCTTACAGAAGCAGAGATATTATTTCTATAATTATAATCGAAAACTACGCCATCCACTCTCGTGGATGCTGAAAAATGTGGATTATAGAGAATGTTATACCGAACATCATCTCTGGATCCTACTAGTGACCAGTTCTGGTAATTTCATCTTTTAAAATAATATATTTCTAGGATTTTTCTTTTAATATTTGCAGACCGAATCAGTGGATACGGATCCCACAGAACAGGGGGTCCTCCTGTATGACATGCCATAACTCACTCACGCCAAGATTAGATGCAGATACAGTGGTGCCTTCTGAAGCCCCCCACATTTCATTTTTACTAATTTTCGTGCCTACATAGCCACCATGCCAGTTTCCCCTGCACACCAAGGAAATTCTGGCAGCCACAAGAAAATAAAAAGCTTACAGAAGCAGAGATATTATTTCTATAATTATAATCGAAAACTACGCCATCCACTCTCGTGGATGCTGAAAAATGTGGATTATAGAGAATGTTATACCAACATGGTCTCTGGATCCTACTAGTGTCCAGTTCTGGTAATTTCATCTTTTAAAATAATATATTTCTAGGATTTTTCTTTTAATATTTTCAGACCGAATCAGTGGATACGGATCCCACGCAACAGGGGGTCCTCCTGTATGACACGCCATAACTCACTCACGCCAAGATTAGATGCAGATATTTTATCCCTGCCTTCACACAATACTCTCACATTCTTATTTGCAACGCATTATATACATTTTTCAATGGGTTTTTTCATTTCGTTGAGCGATGTTTCCCACAGCGAGGGTTAATCCGGAACGGATTAACCTCGCTATGCGGGGCACCACTGTATTTTATCCATGCCTTCACACAATACTCTCACATTCTTATTTGCTTGTATGTTTTCTTTCTCGAACAAACCAAGGCAAAATTATATTTTTACCAAAAAAAAAGTAGAAGTACCTGAAAGCACGGCAGCATCGATGTATTGAACACCCTCTCGGTCGCTTGCAGGACGTTCTTCTCCCGGGAAGTTCTCAGCAGATGGTGGAGGTTCTTCTTTAAGTAACATTTCTTTGCCTTCTTCCAAGTTGGCCGGAGCATCCAAGCTATAACTTCCTTCCCCTTCGCTGCCCCCTTTCTCGAGATCCTCCGAAGGTGCCGACTCTATCAGTATCTGAACCCTCCCTGCTAATGAATCCCTCTTGCGTTTGCTTTCTTCGGCCATGACAAACTCATCAGCCGGAGTCTCCGGCTCGAAAAGGGTCCCCGTCCACTCTTTGGCCGGAGACTCTATGTTGACCGACGGGACTCGGATGGGCAGTCTCGATCTTCTTGGGCCACGCTGGGCTTTCTTCTCCTCCTCCACAGAGGAAGACGGCTTCCCGTTTCCATCACTCAGGCTGTTCCTGTGAGCCGCCCCTCCTTTGCTTCTAGCGTAGGTGGACCTGGGGAGGGTCGGCCCCCCTGATCCCTTCCTCTGGCGAACCGTATAACTGGGCTCGTCCTCGCTGGAGGACAAGACAGAGGGCTTCCTGGAAGGGATTCTGGATTTCGGTGGTGGGACGTGAGAACTCTGCTTGTCGTCACTGTTTTGGCTTTCATTGGCCTGAGCTGAGAGCGACCGGCGGAGTCTGGAGGGCCTCCCATTGTCCTCAACACAGACACCTTTTTCCGTTGATGGTTGAGACCCATAATTACCCAAAACAGACTCGCCCCCTTTTTCCCAAAAGTTCTTCAAGTTCTGGAAATGTTGCCAATCTAGACTGATCTCCTCGTCCTTGACAGGAGAAACGGTATAATTGGGTCCTTGTTTGATCGACCGACCCTCTTCCTCTCTAGGAGATGGCAACCTAGAGGTCTTCAGTGATTCTCGCTTAGCTGGACCCAACTGGGGACTTTCCCCTCCATTATCATGGTCTGCACTGGGGCTGAACGACCCGTTGCTAGACTTTTTTTTAACTGGGATTCTGCTGGAAGGGTAGATTTCTTCACGGACAGCTGGTTGGGTTGTCCAGTTTTCTGATGGGCTTTGGGGAGCATCGGGAACGTCCATTCCAGGTGAGTAAGAAAAACCATCAAGATCCCCTTCCAAATGCTTAGCAGAAGCCACCAAGGATATTGCACTGCCTGTAACAAAGACAGAACACCCCACCCCGCCAGATGCTGTTCAGAGACCTATGGAGAAAGCAATGCCTGTCTACAAGGATTTGGAATTTGAGGCCCTTCTAAGTGTATATTGCTGTGTTCACAAAACATCCATTTGGGTATAGCCACACATATGCATGACAGCTAGGACCACATGGCTGAGATGTTCAAAAGAACTTCACAAGAAATATGTCAACAATGCAATTTGAAGCAAATTGTGATTTGTTAAACCACAGTTCCCTGTTACATCCAAGTTGAGAAATTGTAACTTGATTTCCAATGACAAACTTCTAGCCAGGGAGAGAGTTTTGGTAATTAAAGACATCCTCCTTCTCTCCCATGGTTCCCAGGGCTTCTGTCTAATGAAACGGATTATTCATGAGTCAGCCAAGCTGCAGGACAAAAGCAGGAAGTCTTTAATGGCCAAAAATCTTTTCCTGTCAGTGACAACATCACCCTTCCGTAGGTGTAACTTATACAACAGGATTCTGGTCACCATCTCCTTAACAACAGAAGTACCTAAAACAGTTGCAGTTGTACTGCAAAAGGAGTGAAATTCTCCTTCATTATCTGTAATGTAATTCAGGAATGCCTCAGTTAGTGCAAAAAGTTAGAATTAGCTATTATTTGTAATTAGTTGCTTCCAAACTTTGAGTCTATTATAGTTGCCTGTTCATCTGTGCCACAGAGTCTGCAGGAATGTGTGGCAAAGGACACTTCTTGTGGAAGAAGCTGCTGAGATGAGGCCTGCAAAGCATTAACTTTAAAAACAACAAACCATACCTTTCCCATGTTCCAGTGAGTCCCCTCTTATCATCAGGAATGGGCTTACACCAACTCCGCTATCTGCTGGAGAGATGTCTTCTAGGCTGGATCTCTGAAGGCAAAAACACAACTCGGACGTTTCAGCAAAAAAATGGCCCAGGGATTGTTCTGCTAGACCTCAAGATGGCCACCAAGCTGGATACAGTTTAAAGCTGCATCTACACTGCAAAATTGTGGTGGACACCACTTTTAACTACGGTGGTTCCTTCACCAGAATCTTAGGATTTTGTAGTTGGGTGCGGTCCTTGGTATTCTTAGCTAGAGAGCTCCAGCAGCGCCCTCCCTCTGTGAGTTACAGCATTACAGTCATTGAGCAAAACGTCCTCCCTAAATTATGAATTCCAGGATTCTACTGGATGGAATCACAGACCTCAAAGTGGTATCAAACTGTTATTGATGGGTAGTGCAGACACATTCTTTGAGCAGAGCAGGGAGTGGAAAGCACAGACCTTTTCCTCCACGTATATACTGAATATGGAGGGGCAGGGGACCATGTAATTTGGACCTCACACATCTAACCAATGTGCGAAAGTCCCAGACCAGCAGGTTTCAGATATATGTGTGTGTACATTGGTTCCATGTATACATCTGTAGAAGATATATAAGAGGTTCCTCTGCTGCATTTCGGTCTCGATTTGAAAGATGTGAAGAAAATGACGCTTGCACTAGAAACTGACCGGCTATATTAAGAAAACCCCTGTTGGTTTACTTCTCATGAGCCGTGCTAACGATGGAATTCTGGGAGCTGTTGTCCGAAAAGCGTGATAGGCCTTTGAACACAGCTTGAAGAAATAGCTGGACTGGTACCCTGTTCCCAATGGGAGACCGCTGGAGTCTTCCAGAAATCCTACAAGCAGGAGGAGAAGGGACAGCTCTGTAGCTCTCTCCCCTGCGTAGTATTTCATGGGCATAATGCTGCTCCTGACCATGGACATTCCAAAGATCAATGGTAAAGGTCAAGGTAAAGGTTCCCCTTGACAATTTTTGTCCAGTTGTGTTCGACTCTAGGGGGCGGTGCTCATCCCTGTTTCCAAGCCATAGAGCCAGCATTTTGTTCAAAGACAATCTTCCGTGGTCACATGGCCAGTGCGACTTAGACACAGAACGCTGTTACCTTCCCACCGAGGTGGTCCCTATTTATCTACTTGCATTTGCATGCTTTCGAACCGCTAGGTTGGCAGGAGCTGGGACAAGCGATGGGAGCTCACTCCATCGCGTGGATTCGATCTTACGACTGCTTGGTCTTCTGACCCTGCAGCACACAAAGGCTTCTGCGGTTTAGCCAACAGCGCCACCACATTTCACAAAGATCAATGATCTTCAATCAATTTAAGTGCTTGTCTGAGCTGGTGATCATGTGATCACCGCCCAGAAGAACTCCAGTCCAACCCCGTGTAGTTCTACACCTGCACGGATGGAGGGCTTCCCTCCGTCTGCCCTAAAGTCACGGCCAAGTCCATTTCAAAGTCATCGGTTCACCGTCTCTCTCCTACCTTGTCCGTCAGGGATGCCAGCCTCAACCTGGGCTTAGGGCTGAGCCTGTGTTCTTCCGCTGAATCCAGAGCAGGTTCCCAGGATCTAGACCGAGAAAAGAGTCTTCTAAGAAAAGGCACCGAAGCCAAACTGTTCTTTTTCCCAGCCTCCTCCTGCTGGAATGCAGTCTGCATTGGAGACTGGCACCAAATGCTTCCCTATTTTTTTTACACTCCTTCCATCAAAATACTTCCCCATTTTCCCTTTTCCTCTCTTGCTGTTCCCATCATCCACCTAAAAACGGGAACCAACACACGGCTGAGGTCTTCTGTTTTCATGCTCTTGCTTTTGAGCGCTTAGCGCTGTACCAAATGCTACGCACGTTGATGGCGATACAGAAGGAAAACACAGGATTTTGTGGTTTTGAAAATGTAACCTACTGTCTTAAGTCACCTCGTGGTGCTTTTCAAAAGCTTTTCGATTACAGCTTTCATCATCCCCCCCCCAAGCCCTGGCTGGGGATGATAAGAGTTGTACTTGGAAACACATTGGAGAATAACGAGTTTGTGATGCCGGAGGAACACTTTGCTTCATTTCGCTGTAACCAATATACTGTAAAACCCCAAAACAAGGGCTGAGCCAAAATGCTAGCATAACCTTCCGTCCAGGTGAATATTTATGGGGTTGAATCCTGAATTTCTTGGGGGTGAGGCCAGCCATATTGAAACAAAACATGGACACACACATCTTTTGATCTCTCCAGCAACTAATGGAATTGTGAAACTCTCTGATTTTTCTAATGATGCTAGTTGATTAAAGGGAAAACAGAAAGTGGTTAGAATCTTAAACTGAAGCGTGCATATTTTATGTTTTGGACAACTCCTAGATTTCTCTGAGTTCTGGCAGCTGTCATCCAAAGTATAAAACTGTACACCTTGTACCTTAAATAAAGGATCTGGCTAACTGGACGAAACTGTTTGTGTCATTTCGGCCGCCCCTTATTTAATTATTAACCTTCTACTTGACTTTGTTTCTGTGCAGTCAACAAAACAAGGAAACAATCAAAAGAGACGCTGTAGCAGAAGGGCCTTAATTTTGGACAGCTGCCCTTTTGCAGAGTCGGGCGATTGGGATGTGCAAATGCCATCTGCTTCGGTTCGATCCGAATTACTGGCCTCACAAATCACAACGGAGCCACGTCAATTGGGCTTAGAGCCTATCCAATTCAGTTTGTGTCCAAATACTGTACGTTAATGTATTTGGGTATGTTTGCATTTGTCAAAGCAGTGGGGAAAAACAAGAAAATGAGGAATTAAAGGGCTCTGACCTGGAATGGAGGTTGCAACTCTATGCTATCAACTACTTCTCGGCCTCCAGTGTGCAGGTAAAGCTCAAACCAGTTCATTTGTTTGTCCCTCCCTCATTCGGAGTCATGAAATGTACTCCTTTTCCAGGCCCTTACCTTCTACTACCTGTAAACCTGTACTTCACTTCATCCTCTGAATACTTCCAAATCCAGAGCACATCCCTAGCCTTTTGGGTTCACAGAACATAACTTTGCGGGATAAACTAAGGAGCTATCCTTAGTTCAAAAAACCCACAATTAAGCAATCGAAAAAAGTAACAAGCACATACTTCTAAAAGCATCTGACTACTAAACGATAGTACAGGATCTTGCTTTGTCTGACAAGTATTATAAAAACAGCGCTGCCATGTATAATTATTCACTCTCAGTGCTTGCTTAAAAAGAGGCAAAATCCGATGAGCGAAAGGAAACAAAAATTAATCCACTTCTTCTGCTGAATCATGGCAGGGAAAATGTGATTTGATAAACACCCAAGCAGATATTTATTAAAGGAAGAGCTAGGAAAACAGTCCTTCTATAAAGATCTGTTCTGTGCATTGCTGTATAACAAACTGATGAGCTAAAGTTGTTAAATATAATTCAGAAACACCCCTTTTTGTATTATTCACACTGAACAACCTCACAGAGTGGCGTCACAGGCATCTGTCTCCTTAAATCCTTACATTGGCTTTTCATCCCCCTTCCACACAAAAACGTTGCCATCTCCGTTCCCAGCTCCCCATGCCCTTTATCCACTGTATTTTTTTTAAAAAAAGGTCAAAAATGAAAATCTCTTTTGAGTTTTGAAAAAAAAAGAGAGAGAGGATATTTAGACTTGTTTCACAGTGCAGAGAGAACCTGTGAGCTATTTTGACAGGCAAATCATGGTTCCTAGAAATGTGCAAGGGCTGAATTTTACACATAATACATAGAATCATAAAATCATTGGGTTGGAAGGGGCCTATAAGACCATCGAGTCCAACCCCCTGCTCAAGGCAGGAATCCAGGTCAAAGCAGATCTGAAAGAGGGTAGTACGATTTTCTTTTGAATGCCTCCAGCGTTGGAGCACTCACCACCTCCTGAGGTTACGGGTTCCACTGTCGTACAGCTCTAACAGTTAAGAAGTTTTTCCCGATATTCAACCAAAATCTGGCTTCCTGTAACTTGAGCCCATCATTACATGTCCTGCACACTGGGGTGATTGAGAATAGATCCTGCCCCTCCTCTGTAGGACAGCTTTTCAAGTATATAAAGAGGGCTCTCCTCTCTCCCTTCAGTTTTCTTTCCTTAAGCCTTAACATGCCCAGTTCTTTCAGTCTTTCCTCATTTTGTCCAAAAAAAAGATGGAGCTGGTGGAAGGCTGGGGAATAACAACACAACCTGGCAGAACTATACTTTGTCTACCTCTGTGTTTAATCTCTACAATGCCAGATAGAGCTGGGTGAATAATGATACCGACAAACAATAGAGAATTGACTCTTTGTCCTAGACCTCTTTTTTTGTTTGTTTGTTCTATTCCTTTGATTCGCTGGGGTTAATAATTACCTTTCTTCTTCTGATGGACAGCAAGGCAAAGCCGTCCCTTCAGATGGCAACGAAGCATCTCCCCTTTCCAGACTTTCTGGGGCGTGCACATTATTCTTACCTGTTAAACGAATTGGCAGCAATTCATTAAAAAAACAAAACAGTGACAGCTGCTATGTCTCGATGGACAGATGCATTACTAACGGGATTTGTCTCCCCTTTAATAATACTGGCATAAAATCTACAGTGTTAAAACAGAGAGCAGTGGGATTAAGTACCGTATTTTTCTGTGTATAAGACTATACTTTTGTCTAAAAGCTTTAGACTAAAAATTGCGGGTTGTCTTATACACGGAAGTAAGCTGAGGAGAGAACAAAGACAAGTGGAGGGGAAAGCAGGGATCAAAGCGATCCTGCAGCACTTTGATCCCTTTCCCCCTACACTTGCTAAGCCCCACTTAGATTTCTTAATTTTGGATTAGAAAAGTGGGAGGCGTCTTATACATTGGGGAGTCTTATACACAGAAAAATACGCTAGCTAAAGTTTTGGATGAGGTCTCAGAGGAATTGGGGTTCGTCTTAATTTTGGATTAGAAAAGTGGGGCGGTGTCTTATACATCGGGGAGTCTTCTACACAGAAAAATACGGTAACTAAAGTTTTGGACGAGGTCTCAGAGGAATTGGGGTTCAGATCCTACTCAGTCATGAGATTCAGTGGGAGGGGCTTTATTTATTTACTAATTTAGCTTGTACAGGATGATCATGGTATTCTTGGAGGATTGGTTCCAAGCCCCCAACCCCGTGGATGTCAGCAAGAGTGGATACAGAAACCCTATCTATAACATATTCTTGGTTCTTTCTAGTGGCCACTTCTGATAACACACCTTGGAAACATATACTGTATTTCTGAGTTTCTTATTTGGTCCTGTTATATACTGCCCCACCAGGCATGGCATTCTTTGGGAGATACAACAGAGAATTCAGTCAAATAAAACATAACGTACTATAAGCATACCATGTATAAAAACAATAATTAATCCCGTGCCACAACAACTGCATTTAAAGTAGAAAATTCAGCGGCTTAAAAATCTCAGGTTAGTATTAATAAGACACCCCTTTTAAAAGCACAGTTTATTTATTTCAAAGTCCTGCCACTTTTAGTTCATGGGAGGAAAGGTAGGATGTGAATCTAACACGCTGAAAATAATAATAATGGAGAGAAGCATATGCCGGTGAGACACTCAACACCATGGTAAGGTTCAAACTACCCCTAGTTTTGGCAGTTACCATCAGCCACACTGATGGTTTTTAATTATGATTGTGTATATGTATACACACACACGTATGTCTTTGGATGATTGTTCAGGCTCCATACACACACACACACACACACATGTATGTCTTTGGATGATTGTTCAGGCTCTGATCCGTTCCCCTCAAACCGGATTCTCGTCCCTCAGTGAGAATTCTCACACATCTGTTGACTGGGCACCACACTGCAGGATGATTGTTGGGGATATGACCTGCAAACCAGCTGTATAAAAACATCGCCAGCTCTCTGGAGGCCCAACCCATCTGGACAGCTAACTAGGACGTGGCCAGAAGCTGTCAACAAAGGTTAATCCACTCCAGGATTTTTCAGGGAGCTACTTCCTGTTTCAAGTCAAAGTCATTTGATCTTGGCAAACAGGGGAGGCAGCGGGAGAGAGCTAATTAAAGGAGATCCCGCATTGTTTGCCCTGGCACGGCAAGACGCGGCGCCCTGGGTGTTTTCTTCAACCAGCTGCAAGGCAAACAGCGTAACCCGCACGGATCGTTGACGAGACCCCTAACATGGCCCAAGTTAGGGGCAAACCAATCCGAACGACGTGGTGCTGCAGGATTCCTTGAGGTTGAACCTGTGTTCACTGTTGCAGCTTTTTCCCCCAGGTGTGAGAAAAAATTCCTTTTCTGGACCGACAACCTCAGACGCCCCCCCAATCTAACCAGAGACAGAGCGACCTAAGTCGTGACCATAAGGGGGCAAAAGATCAACCCCTCACTGTGATTAGAGCCCCTGACCTTGCCGTCCAAATCCACATTGCATAATATTGAGCTTTTACTGTAATTTTCCACCCTGGAGGTATTTCACAAACAGAAACACCGGTAACAAACCAAATCAGCAACGCTGGCAGAGGTCAACATGAATGCCTTTCCCTTTGGAAGCTAAGCAAGATTTTCTTTCTCCCCCCCCCTTTTTTTTTTGGAAAAAGTTTTCTATCTGACTATTATATGAAAGCCCCTTCTGTTGAACATCTTTATTTTGTGTGCATGTTTTTAAAAGTACTTTCAATATGATGTCTATGCCTAAGAAAACAGTGGCTTGGAAAGAGGCGAGCTTGGTTTTGAGCAGGAAATGACATTCCAGGCTGATGTCGTCCAACCAGCTCAACGTGTTCAGCTTTTTCTTTTTTCTTTTTGTTAAAAAAAACACCTCTGTTCTTCTAAGATTATAACCTCTTCATCAATTGACTAGGTTTGGTGGTGGGGAACCTTCCGAGATCTATACGGCCTCAGAGGAATTCAGGTGACATGGTGGATTTGCTACCAATTGCCATCTTACAGATGGGCACGAAATGCCAGCTTGGTGGTTCGCGCCGGTTCGTTTACCAGCCGAACAAGCGTTCGGCACATCAGAGCTAAGCAGGCCAGGGAAGCCAAGCTGCTTCCTCTGAGTAGGTCTCCACAGGACCTGGAGGTGCCAAACACTTTTTTTCTTTCCAAACCTGCATAATTTTTTCCACACTCAAAAAAGAAGTTTTAAGATGACAACGACGATAGTTTTCATAATCTCGCATAAAGAACCATGATAACAAAAGGGCTAAATTCCGGCAGTAGCGGGCTTTGGATTCATGCCTGGCCTTAACGAACTTCCTCACAAAAGGTGTGACAAGTCAGATTTGTTCCACTTCAGATGCCGGTATGCTGTTTTCAAGCAAAGTGGACACCCATAGACATTGGGGAAGGGGGAAGGTGAGCAGGTTCTTCAAAACCGAGTTGCCGAGGGCCTTAGGTGTGCCACCAAAACCACACTTTGCTAGAGATCGTTCCGGAAAGGGCTGAATATAAATTGCCACTCACGTCCTATCCTTGCCTGTGAAAAACACTTTCAAATCCAACCAGCTTCCATTTAATAGTAGCATTCTGTTAAGTCTATCTTGACTTATGGCAACCCCTTTGAGAGTTTTTCAGGTAGAGAATACTCAGAAACGCTTTACCGTTCCCTTCCTCTAGGGGCAACCTTGGGATTGTGCAGCTGGCCCAAGGCTACCCAGGCTGGCTCTTCTCCCAGGAGGCACAAGTGGGGAATCGAACTCCCAACCTCTGGTTCCTTAAACCACAGGTATCCAGCCAGCACATTCCTAACGAGTGGCCATAAAGGAGAGGCACATCAGCCCATGGGTTATTTCCTAATCTCCTTCCACCTGCTTCGCAGTTTGAAGAACCATCTGAGCTGAGCCCGGGACTCTGTTCTTACCATCCACGCGGCTCTTCTTTTTAATGGAAGCCCGAAGCAGATCTGAGCCTTCCGGTTCTTGTCGGAAACGCTGTGCCTTCACTTCATGAAACCATTCGCCGGTGACAAATTTCTTTTTCTTGCCATCCTTCAGCGAGCCTTGCAGTCGTCTAGGGAGACACGGAAAGCAAATAAACGTCAGGGTTGCTCTGTGTATACAGTATATCACATGTGTTGAGCATGCTTCATAAATGACCTTTCACCAACAGTCCTAGAGCAGCGTTCGTGAGTGTCAAAAAAAGCATACAACTGCTGGGGTTATGGGAATCCAAAGACTCCTGCTTCCATAACTTAACAGGATCCCCCACAGGCTGAATTATGGGTCCTCCGGGAATCCAAAGACTCCTGCTTCCATAACTCATCAGGATCCCCCACAGGCTGAATTAGAACTGCAGAGCTGGAAGGATCATGGAATCCATCCCCTGTCAAGGAGGCCCAGTATGGGAATTGAACTCCCAACCTGTAGCTCTGTAGCTAGAGACCTAAGCCACGGAGCTACCCAGCAGTTCCTGGATAGTCCTTAAACTGGCATGAGGTAGAGCAGCCTCCACACCTCTACGCCATTCCCATGATGCTTGCTCTAACCGTTAGAATCGGGCCCTCCTGCACCGTGTGTGTCACGAGGATTCGGGAGCAAAGGGGCACAAGCCCTTATGGAGGCTGCCTCATTCTCTCGTGTTGGCATGAGGTAGAGCAGCCTCCACACCTCCACGTCATTCCCATGTTGCTTGCTCTAACTGTTAGAATCGGGCCCTCCTGTACCGTGTGTGTCACGAGGATACCCTGCGACTCGGGAGCAAAGGGGCACAAGCCCTGATGGAGGCTGCCTCATTTCCTCGTGCGCCTTGGTGAGTCACAGGGAATCTTCACGCCAACCCAATCCATGCTCAGCGGGGCCATTATGCCTTAGGGGAGCATCGGCACAGAGTGGGCAGACTGAGCCCCATATTCTCCTGCCGGCACAGTCTGCCTCCTCTGGGGAGCTGCCCACCCGCAAGCTCCACAAAACGGCCGTCTGGGCATGTGCGCTGTAGCACATCAGCGCTAAACAGGGCATGACTTTATTCTCCCAACATCCTACCTGATACGATCGCCATCCTTTTTCTTCAGCTCTGCGTCCCTCTGCAGCACGGTCATGAGTTTCTCATACTCCTCTTCGGTCAAGAAGCTGAGGTCCAGCATCTTTCCCCCGGGGCTTGCTTCGGCCAAGCAAGCGGGCTGGCAACTAAAATACCGAGGTGGAGGCCATGAACAGAAAACTGGCAAGGGATTTTATTTCAAGTCGACACCAGGACGTGTTGGGAAGCAACCATTCACACCACAGGGCCCGGGAGGAGAACCCGCTGTACAATCCAGGTTGAGGAACTCAAGCATCGACCCATCCTCTTGCAATCTGATCCTCCCGGCAGCAGGTCCGCGTGAGCCCCAAAGGGTGTCCCTAGAGAGTTTGGCTCTTCTGCTTTGCCCACGCGCAACTTGGAGTGGAAACGAGCAGGCCGGCTCAAACAATCTGAGTGAGAAGATGCCTCTTCTGGGATCGCCACCAAATGCAGCCCCCCCCCCCAAAGCACTGGTCATTCCAGGATTTGCCTCCTGCAAAGAAGACGTCTCGCCGGGTTGGTTCAGGTACCCCTGAATTTAAAAAAATGCAAAAAAAGAGGGGGGAAAGTCATCAAGATGGCCTTTTTAGATGAAGGCAACATGTGGCACTTCTATGTGTGTGTAGCCCGGTGATTTTTACTTAGGCCTGAGCAAGCAACCATTGTGTGTAAGGGTGTGTGTGTAATAGTAAGAGCCCTTGACACAGCATTTTATTTAAGAAAAGGGGCCACATCTAGGCTGGCTGGATAGCTCCGTGAGCTAGGAGTCTGGCTATGGAGCCAGAGGTTCAGAGTTCAGTTCTCCCAGAAGAGCCAACCTGTGTAGCCTTGGGCAAGCTGTACAGTGGCCAAATTCACTCCAGAAGAAGGGAATGGGAAACCGCTCCTGAATATTCTCTATCTAGAAATCCCTGGAAAGGGTCAAGTTAAGTCAGAATTGACTTGACAGAACATGAGGATGACAACCTCTGTATTTACTTATTAAACTCCCATTTTAAGTTTACAAGCAGATATTCATTTCATCAAAGCTGGTTGCATAAAGACAGGATCCTGGGACAGTTATCATTAATCTTGCACTCCTATGCATGTATTCAAAAGTAAAGCTCTATTGAGTTCAATGGAGGTTACTCCTAGGTAAGAAGAAAGGACTTCTTTCTTATATAGGACTGCCAACTAAGCATATCCCAGGTTGTAATCCTAAAGACCCTTCCTATGGCTTAAACACCTCTGAACAGAAAGAGAATTACATCTGAGTAAGCCCAGTATCAAATTCTGGTTTCTGTTTAGTTTCAACTATAGGCTGCTTTACTTTTATGTTGTTCCCCAAGCTGCTTTGCAACACTGGAGGATAAATATTGCTTTTTTTTATTTAACATTTCTCTGCAACACATTATCCACTTTAAATCTCTTTGCAACAAATGTTAACAACAACAACAACAACCCACCAGAGGTAGCCGTAACAGAACCAAGAAATGTCTGGATCACTAAAACTGCAATTCCAGGGGGTGCCAGAGTTGAAAATAAAGAACTGGAAAAACTAACAAAGTACAGAGACCTGGCCTTCGAAATATCTCGCTTGTGGATGAAACGCAGTTTGGTGGTCCCTCGTCAACATTGGGGCTTTTGGAGCAATATGAAGAAATTTCACACAGTACAATAAGTAGTTGCAGATCTCAGAAATCACATCATCAGAGCTACAGAAAATGGCAATATTGGGAGTCGTATACATATTCCGCCGATATTTAACAGATTTTAGGTTGGGGGTTAAAATTTGTATCTGTTACATAATACCAGTCAATGTTTTTATAATTTTGATTGGCTGGGCCTGGTGTTTTTGAATATTACCATAATGATAATCTTGGAACTGCTGAGCTAGAAGGGAGAAATCATCCTCAAGTCTTTGTCCCATAGCCCATTTCAGCCGAGCGCACATACAGCGATCGCTCAAAGGGAGAAGGGTTTTCAAAATCTCAGACGCCGTGCTCAATACATTTTGATCTTGGAGGCTGCTCACGGGTTCTGCTGTGCCTCTGTGTGGCTGGACTGTCCGGCCGGTCACAGGAATTTTCAGGACGAACCGCCAAACAATGGCGTAACCGGCACAGAGAGTACGGTTCGTTCTGCAACAAAATAAAGAGCCGATCCCAGCAGGAGGTGAAGCCAAAAAGAAAAAAAAAGGCTTTAGAAATTAAGAATGTTCTTATTATGAACTACATCTCCCAGGTTCCATAATCCTCTAGGCAGCAACAAGCTGAGTGGTGCTGGCTAGTGGAAACTGGGAGATGTAATCCAAATTCTGGAGTCAACAGTTCTGCAGAACCAGAGGTTGACACGAGCGACTCCATAATCCATAGGGTCCCTTCCGGCTCTCCAGCTCCAAGATGATGATTATATTCACTACAGTCCCCATCACTGCCTCTTTTCGCTGCCAGTTTTGATCCCGCAGAAACCAAGGTACATTTTACTCAAAGAGGCCAGCCCAATGAACTTGGGATAGCTTTCTGATTCAAGAAGGCAGGCCTCCGCTGGCCACTGCCGTTGATGTATCTTAAACTAGGCACTTATGCGATGCATAAAAAAACCCCAAGAAATCAGTGTAGAAGATAAATAACCAAATAAGTAACTGAAAACCAAAAAAGGGAAAATGGGGAGTTGCCCTCTGGGCCAAATATCAATTGGCAGGATGAGATGCCTTTAATATACAATAAACAGAGTGTTCAGTTTTCTCACTCTGTCCAATAGTAAATTTAAGGGGTGGCTGAACCCGGGTATACCAGTTGAAGTTGCTGGACTCCAGTGCCGATTAGCAGCCGCTGAAATTGGGAATAAGCCTGCTCTCCACCACGGCCCAAGACACACAAGGCAAACTTCACACTTCTAAAGGCCTTTAACTGGAGATGATGGGACTGCTGAGTTGACACAGACCCACTGTAAACAAAAAAAGGCAGTCTAGTTCATGGCGAATGGCACCACTGAAAACTTAACCCTATTCTATCTTCCCCCCTCTCCATCGCTGAAGGTCCAAGGCCTGGCCAGCTCTGTCAAGAACTACCAATAACCTCACCCAATGAATGCTTTTATTGTGCCAGGCTCAAAACAAAATCCCGTCCCCTTCCACCTGTCATAGCTTATTAGCCTACGGCAAAGGGGAGGCAGCAATAAAGCGTTGCAGCTGCCTGGGCTTCTGTTCAATGCTCTTACAGGTCAGAAACGAGAACTTTGTAACCCAGTGGTTCCCTACCTTGGGTCCTCAGATGTTCTTGGACTAAAACTCCCAGAAGACTTCACCACTGGCTGTGCTGGCCAGGATTTCTGGGAGTTGGAGTCCAGGAACATCTGGGGACTCAAGGTTGGGAACCACTGCTGTACTATCTCGTTGAGCGATGGTGATGGGGCAAATGCCAGATGTTGGGAAGGATGATCTTCTCCCACTCTCCCAGGATTCTTCCTTGCTACAACACAAGGCGACTCAGCGGTAAGGAACATTAAGCCTTCCAGATGTTGGGGACCACAACACCCTTACTGGTGAGACTGCAGAGCGATGCTCAAGGGAGTGCTACAGCACAAAACATCTGGAAAACCAAGGATTCCATAATGTCCAACAGCCTTCCAGATGTTGGGGACCACAACACCCAGAGTCCCTTACTGGTGAGACTGTAGAGCGATGCTCAAGGGAGTGCTACAGCTCAAAACATCTGGAAGACCAAGGATTCCATAATGTCCAACGTGTACCAACATGCATTTAGCACATAGGTGGGGACTGGAACATACGGCCATCCAGATCTTATTGGACTTCAGCCATGATCCTAACACAGGAGTCCCAAACCTTGGGTCGTCAGAGGTTCTTGGACTGCGATTCTTTGAAAGCCTTCACCACTCGCTGTGCTGGCCAGCTGCTTCCGGGAGCTGCAGTTCAAGAACATCTGGGGACCCAAGGTTGGGAACCCCTGTCCTAGCCAAAAGTAAGGGGTGATGGTAGACACAGCTCAACAACACCTGGAGGATCACATCTTCCTCTGTTCTTCTTTTAGAAATACCAACAGCATGCCCCTTGCATTTCGTAATGAACAGCAGAGCAAAACTTGGCTGGTCTTAGTGAAAGTGCTGCAGTTTAAATATTTGGGGACGGTGTAGATTTTACAGGTGGAGTCTGTTTAACTAGTGTAGACTACAGGATGTAGCCTATTGTTAGTTCCGTATTGTCAGGTCGCAAGTGGGGGAAAACAGAGCAATGGGATGCTGAGGGATGAATCAAGCCATTGCCCTATGCAGCACTGCATCTCCCTAAGAGTTGCATTTGAAAACATCAGCTGTAATGGAGAAACAGCCTTGCTCAGGACTCTGGCTAGAGAGGATCTGGACCCCTAGACCTGTAAGGAGGCTAACCTCCTTGAGACCATTAACATTATTCATACTAATTCAATAGAGAAGCCATTGATAATTACTAAGCTGGCTGGATCGGTCAGTAGTTTTGGCATCTGGCTGCACGGCCAGAGGTTGGGAGTTTGATTTTTCACTGGGCCTTCTTGGGAAGGCAGCCAGCCTGGGTAGCCTTGGGCCAGCTGCACCGTCCCAAGGGCGCCCCTAGAGGAAGGGAAGGGTAAACCACTTCAGAGTACTCTCTACCTGAAAAAACCTTGAAAAGGGTTGCCATAAATTGGATTTGCCTTGACAGCATACACACAGACACACACGTCACTAAAAATTACCTGATTGCACCTATTAGGACACACTTGGCTTTGAATCTTTTGCATGAATGGGCTTTACTGGGTTATCAGCTTGTATAAACAGGGCCTTAGGTCCATTCATAGTTCAACACGCTAAACCAGGAATAGGCAAACCTAATTTCCTTCTGATGTTTGGACTATATAATTCCATAATGCTTAAGTCTTTGTTTTTTCTTTTTCTTTAGAATTCTGGGCACTGCAGTCCAAATATGTAGACATTTCCTGCTTCTCAACACAGGCTTTCACAGTGAAATGCAACCCCCTTCCACCTGATTCCAGGCCCAAAGGAGTTGGCCTTTGACAAGAGCGAACCAATGTGAAATAATTTGCTCCCGGTTCTGTTGAGTTGCAATCTTTCCAGGGTTGCAGAGAACGCTTGCGATTAATAGCACACCCAGGGAGGGAGAGCGGGAGGCAGCAGGACCAGAGCAGAGATTTAAGGAGCACCTTGTTCTTCCTTGTGCTTTACACTCGGGGAGGGCGGCGTTCCTTGAGCCATCTGGAAAACACCTGGGCACAGGTGAGCAGGTGTGTGACATGACCCGGGTGATGAAGATCAGGATGGCGATGAAAGTAGAGACGTACCAGACACAGTTTGGAACTTTTAGACACTGGACACAATTTTATAGGGTGGGGGAAGGGGGGCTTTATTCGCTTTTATTGATGTCCTGCACTTCTAAGCCGCTTTCTTCCTGGCCGTGGGGCTCAAGGTCAGCATTGAGGAGGGAATGACATGAACAGCAACCTTGAAGTCACTGTGTTACCTCTGCGCACAATAAATCTTGCAAAACATATTTACTATCTTTAGGACCTGATGTGTGTTAAGGGGACAGCAGATACGGGAAAACTTAACATTTCCGGGCGACTAGCATTCTAGGATTCAGTGGGCTGTATCCAGAAAGCTGTTGCTGTTGTGACTTATATACTGCACAACATTCTGAATAATTTAAGTGAAGGGAGAAACTTAACTTCTCTTAAGGGGATGGTGCCGCGCTGTTGCACAACATAGGTGAGCCTATTTTACCTGAGGGTTTTTTGAAAGGCTGTATATCTTATGTCTTATTAAACGTTAGGGAACAATGCCGCAAGAAGCAACACAGTGCCTTGTGACACCTCAACGACTCACATGTTGCCTTTGGCAGAAGCTGCCCAAACAGCTCAGGAAACGGGATTCTCAACAGTGCGCATTTGCAACTTCAGGTCAAACGAAGTTGCAAGAAACACGTCTGCCACCAAGATTTTAACAGAACAAAAAAAAATCACTTGGATTTCATTGAATCATAGAATTATTGAGTTGGGAGGGGGCCATACAGCCTTTGAATCCAAGTGGATTTCATTGAATCATAGAATTATTGAGATGTAATCCAAGCCCCTGCTCAGTGCAGGAACCCAAATCAAAGTGGACCTGTCCAATTTTTCCCCCCCCGCCCAAATCAAAGTGGACCTGTCCAATTTTTTTTTCCTGAATGCCTCCCGAGTCACCACCTCCCGAGGTCATTGATTCTTTTGTCGTACTGCTCTAAAAGTACGATAGTCGAAATCTGGCTTCCTGTCGCTTGAACCCATTATTATGTGTCCTGCATTCTGAGATGATCGCAAACAGATCCTGCCCCTCCTCTGTAGGACTACCTTTTGTGTATTCTCTCCTACTGTAAATATCTCAGCAATGTCTCTTCTAGAAGGCATCCAACACCTCCAAACAGGGGTAACTGAGTTTTAAGCTTAATGGGTCTGCCACTGCCATCTTACATTTTTTTTAAAAAACCACAGTGTTTACAAAGGATAAAATATAAACCTTAGAGGTTTTTTTTTAAAAAAAGCCCAATAAAACCATCAAGAAGGTCTCAACCAAAACTGGAGCTGTTGCATGAAAATGCTCCCCTTAAGAACAGGTAAGGTTTTGCACAAATAGCTTTCCATGAGTAAAAGGGGTAACTTTGTCTGTTCCACATCGGAGAGAAAGTTAGCAAGACTTCTAGTTCCCTGCCTGACCTTCCAACTAAGAGTTTCCAGCCAAAGATAACTGTTTCAGGGTCAATAAAATGTCCCACTGTACCAGAGCAACTCTTTACATTTTAAAAAACTAGACACCTTCAGTGTGGCCAGGCAATGAACAAAGGATCTAGTCTGACTCTCAGTAATCCTCAAGAATAGCTGGCTGGCCCTATTCATGTAACACTTTAGAGCTTATGAAGTGCAGGCAGAGGAAGTCCGGGAGTTGTAGTTCAAAAGTCACCCCCCCCAAAAAAACCCTAAAGATTTCCCCAAATTCCGCTCTATACTTCAAACACTTTGTGGACAGATCGCCCTTCCCGCAAACCGGCAGCCAAACCCTGTCGCTGGGACGCGCAGGTGGTGCGTCGACCCTTCAGAAGTGCTGCCTGAAGACATGCACCCCCAGAACCACAGATTTCGTGTTTGTTCCTACTGTCCAGAGAAAGTGAGAAGGGAAGGAAAAAGAAAATAAAGGAAGAATAGAATTGAGAGGAAGAGAAAAGCAAGAAAAAGTGACGGGAGGATGAAGTAAAAGAAGAGAATGGAGAGCAAAAGTGAGAGTGAGTGAAAAGAAAAGAAAAAGTGAAGGGAGGAGAAAGTAAAAGAAAAGAAGAGAAGATAGTGGAGAGCAAAAGTGAGAGCGAGTGAAAAGAAAAGAGAAAAGAACTGGGAGCGAGAGAAAAATGAAGGGAGGAGAAAGTAAAAGAAAAGAAGAGAAGATAGTGGAGAGCAAAAGTGAGAGCGAGTGAAAAGAAAAGAGAAAAGAACTGGGAGCGAGAGAAAAATGAAGGGAGGAGAAAGTAAAAGAAAAGAAGAGAAGGGAATGGAGAGCGAGAAAAGAGAACAAAAAGGAAAAAAATTGAAAGTGAGAAAGAAAGAAAGAAAGAAAGAAAGAAAGAAAGAAAGAAAGAAAGA